GCTCCGTGTCCCCAAAACAGCCCCCGGGGAGCTCCGTGTCCCCAAAACAGCCCCCGGGGAGATCAGTGTCCCAAAACAGCCCCCGGGGAGCTCCGTGTCCCAAAACAGCCCCCGGGGGGCTCCGTGTCCCCAAAACAGCCCCCGGGGAGCTGAGTGTCCCCAAAACAGCCCCCGGTGTCCCTGCATCCCCCGGTGTCCCCGCAGCCCCCGGTGTCCCTGCATCCCTCAGGGTCCCTGAAGCCCCCGGTGTCCCTGCAGCTCCCGGTGTCCCTGCATCCATCAATGTCCCCGCAGCCCCCGGTGTCCCTGAAGCTTTGATGTCCCCGCAGCCCCCGGTGTCCCTGCAGCCCCCGGTGTCCCCGCAGCCCCCGATGTCCCCACAGCCCCGGTGTCCCCGCAGCACCCCGCGGTGCGGGCTGGCTGCTGGCAGCCCCGTGCTGCGATGTTCCCTGGCACGGAAATCGCCTCAATCTCCCGACAAGCGGCCACGTCCCATCGGATCAGCGAGGTGCCACCGCGTGTGCCCGGGGTGAACACGCACGTGGCGCGGCCACCCCGCACACGGGGAGCGCCCGTGCTGACACCTCCTGTCACCTCCTGTCACCTCCTGTCACCTCCCCTCGCGGGGACAAGGAGTGTCCCAGGCGTTTCTTGAGGAAAGGGTGAGGGGTGCGGATGATAATGAGGGGGGCAGCGCAGGGAGGGACCTCAACTCCCCTGCAGTGACACAGGGAAGGGTTGGCACCGCTGTGGGATGGCACAGGCAGGTCTGATCCCCTCCCTGGGGTCTGGTGCTGGGGGTGCTGCCCCTTCTCCCTCACCCTGCGTCCCTCCAGAGCCTCTCCTCATCCCACGGGTGGCAGCGAAAGCCACGGCGAGTCCCCAGCGGGAGCCTGGCCGTGCCGGGGAGCCACCTCCCCCAGATGTGACATCTGCGCCGCTGCCACGCTGCCTGGAGACAAGCTCGTCAGGCCTAATTAGACTGAAATCCCCCAAGAGCTACTAATTAGACTGAAATCCACCCAAGAGCTACAGCGGGGGAATGTGGAGCGAGTGTGTGTGGGGAGCAGCACCGCCACCCAGCACAGGGACACGAGGGGACCCCAGCCGGGCACCCCCGGCCTGAGGTGCCCCAAGGAGGGGGCACAGTGCTCACAGGGGATGGCAGGGCAGTGGCACACGTGCACCGTGGTGATCAGGCACCACAGAGCGTGGCTTGGGACCAGCTCACCATGTCCTACAACAGCATCAGCCTAACTAGCAGCAAAACGGGAACACACCTGGCCAGCCACCTGCACTGCAGAGGGGACGGCCAGAGGGACAGAAGGACACCCAGGGGTGCCTGGAAGGGCAGAAAGCTTTAGCAAAACTGCAATCCTCCCAGTTCCCCCTAAGATGATGCTGGGAGGGCACGAGATGCCTTTTCCCACACCCCAAATGGGATCTGGGGAGAATGAAACAGAGGAAGGGGCACAAGATGCCTTTTCCCACACCCCAAATGGGATCTGGGGAGAATGCAGCAGAGGAAGGGGCTTCCACAGCCTGGCCCAGAGCCCAGCCCCCGAGCTCCCAAAGCACAGCGAGGGGCAGGAACCCATCTGCAGCATCTGTGCAGAGCTGGCACGGGGACAACAGGATGCAGCCTGGATTTGGAGCGAGCCCACGCAGCAGCCTCCAGCGAGGCTTCCCCGATAGATTGCTGGTACAGGAGATAAATGCTCTGCCGCCGTGCCAGAGCAGCCCCCTTCCAGATGCTGCTCCTCCATGCAGATCACCCTGGCTGATCCCGATCTGCGAGGAGGGAGGCACAGATCCAGCCCAAGCGACAGCCCAGCTACCCGAAAATGCTCTGCGTGTGGTGTCCCCAACACGGGCACTTGTCACCCTCCCTCCTGCCTCACAGCCCGTGGAGAAGTCTGGGAGTGCGGGGCAGAACCCGCGGGATGCTGGAGCCGGGGCGGGCCCTCACCTGTAGATGATGCAGGCGCAGTCCCGGCAGGTCCCGCAGTTGGCGATGTCCTGCCCGGTGCGGTACGAGTGTCGCCTGTGACAGAGATGTGCCGTGAGCCTGGACACCTGCTCTGGGTCTGTCTGCGTCCTCTGCTGCCCCCGCGCCCACCCCAGCAGGCAGGAGCAGGGCTGTCCTCCCTGGATCCCAACCCCTTTCCTCTCTGGGATCCATCTCCTCCCTGGATCCCAGCTCCTTTCCTCTCTGGGATCAATCTCCTCCCTGGATCCCAGCTCCTTTCCTCTCTGGGATCCATCTCCTCCCTGGATCCCACCCGTTTTCCTCTCTGGGATCCATCTCCGCCCTGGATCCCAGCTCCTTTTCTCCTTGGGATCCATTTCCTCTCCTCCCTGGATCCCAGCTTCTCTTCCTCTCTGGGACCCATCTCCTCCCTGGATCCCACCTCCTTTCCTCTCTGGGATCCATCTCTTCTCCTCCCTGGATCCCAGCTTCTTTTCTCCCTGGGATTCACACCCTCTTGTCCCTCTTGTCTTCTGAATCTCAGCTCCTCTTCCTCTCTGGGATCCATCTCCTCTCCTCCTGGATCCCAGCTCCTCTTCCTCTCTGGGATCCATTTCCTCCCTGGATCCCAGCTCCTTTTCTCTCTGGGATCCATCTCCTCTTCTCCCTGGATTCCAGCTCCTTTTCTTCTTGGGATTCACACCCTCTTGTCCCTGTATTTCTTGAATCCTAGCTGCTCTTCCTCCTGGGATCCATCTCCTCCCTGGATCCCAGCTCCTCTTCCTCTCTGGGAACCATTTCCTCTCCTCCCAGGATCCCAGCTTCTCTTCCTCTGGGATCCATCTCCTCCCTGGATCCCAGGTTCTCTTCCTCTGGGATCCATCTCCTCTCCTCCCTGGATCCCACCCATCTCCTCCCTGGATCTCAGCTCCTTTTCTCCTTGGGATTCAGTCCCTCTTATCCCTGTATCTTCTGAATCCCGGCTCCTCTTCCTCACTGGGATTCATCTCCTCCCTGAATCCCAGCTCCTCTTCCTTTTGGGGATCCATTTCCTCTCCTCCCTGGGTCCCAGCTCCTTTTCTCCCTGGGATTCACACCCTCTTGTCCCTGTATTTCTTGAATCCTACCCCCTTTCCTCTCTGTGATCCATTTCCTCTCCTCCCTGGATCCCACCCCCTTTGCTGTCTGGGATCCATCTCCTCCCTAGATCCCAACCCCTTTCCTCCCTGGATGCCAGCCCCTTTCCTCTCTGGGATGCCAACCCCTCTCCTCCCTGGATGCCAGCCCCTCTCCCCCCATGTGATCCCAATTAATACCAAGCCAGCTGCTTCTCTGATGGGGGCACGCCAACGCTGGGCACGGTGGCATCTCCAAACCCTTCCCGCTGTGTCCTCCCCTCCCATCCCCCTCCCAATCCTCATCCCAAGGGTCCCCACGCCTGCAGCCCCCAGGTCACCACACATCTCCCCACGCGTGGTGCCACGGAGGCAGCACAAGGCTCACGGTGCTGCCCTGGCACGGCAGTGCCCTGGCAGATGGGCACGGGGAGATGCTCCAGACTAATCTCCAGCCTACGCCAGACTCGGAATTTATCTTTTGGATGTTTTTGTACCAGAGCATCCTTCTCCTCCTCCGGGAAGGTGCACAGGACTTGGATTAAGCTGATTCCTGCCCAGGCTCAGCTCATGTTGCTGCATCCTCCTCCCTTTTGTGTCTTCACCCCACATTTCTCTGCTGATGGTGCCAGACCCCAACCCTGAGGCACCCTGATCCCAAGGGCTGTACTGGGGTCCTCTGCACCCCAGCACTGCTGATCCCTGCTCATTCTGCTCTGCCCAAAAGGAGCCCTGTGAATGCTGTTGGTCCCTTTGGGACCCCTTCAGGGCTGGGGATTTTGGGGGCACAGCTGAAAGAACATGTCCCACTGCACTTCACATTTCCCCGGTGAAATCTTCCTCCCGTTACTCGACCTTGACCACGGTTGTTCTCAGCCCTCGGAAACTGGGTCTGTTAATGCACCAAATTACACATTGCAGTGGGGATTTACTCTGCCAGCACCTGAATTAGATCATGAGGCCCTTTATGCAGACATATATATATATATATATATATATATATATATATATATATATATATGTGGTAGGTAAATGTGTATGTGCCTGTGGCTGTGGCGTTGTACAATAACCCCCCTCTGCTGGGAGAGCTCATCCTGGGATAGTCTTTCATGTTTTACATATATAAATTTTTGTGGGATGTTGCTGGTGATCGGTGCCAGGATGTCTCAGGGCTGGTGGCCCTGCCCTGGTGTGCAGTGGGCACCTGGGATGTGACTTGTGGCAAACGAGGCTCTGCTGTTCTGCAGCATAAGGACACCAGGAGAGTGTTTGATGTGATTTTCTATCTCTGGGCATCTTTTTTTTTTGCTTATTTGTAATAGTAAACAGAGCTGAGGTCTTAATTAAGGTGTCCCTCCCCACTGACAGTGCTCCAGGGGTGGCACAGGGGCAGTATTCCCTGTGCTTCACTCACAGCCAAAGCTTAAAAAGATTTAACAGTTGGATCACAGCAATCTTGGGCATCGGGAACAAGCCCCAGAGATTTTACAGGAGGATGCCAGGCCCAGCATCTCCTGGGGGTTTGTTGGTTGCCCTCGTGTGAGATGAGTTTGGAGCATTTCAGTCTAAGGCCATTGTGGGCTGACCTAGAACACCTTCCTCAATTTGGCAGATCTGCCTGGAGGCCAAGGAATGCTGGCCTGGGGAACTCCCTGCCCCTTGGAGACAGGGCAGGATGGGGGTGCTGGGCACCTCCCCGGGATGCAGCCAAACCCATCAAGGGGGCACCGGCCGCTGCATTTGTGCCAGAGGTGCCTCCACGGATGGGGCAGGGATGTGGGGCCTGGCTAAGCCTGCCATTGGGATGTGACATTCTAGATCTCTGCTCCCGGTGACCAATGGAGAAATCAGCTGCAGCAGAGCCGGGCAGGAACCCAGCACCCCCTCACACCCCAGACCTGCACCCCTGGGCACGGGCAAGGCACCGTGGGCACGTGAGACCTCGCACCAAAACACGGAACCACGTGAATGTGGACAGCAGCTCTGAGTTTCTCAGAGGGAAACACCCTAAGGAGGGAGGCAGCAGCATCCAAATCTCTGTCAGGGTCTCTCATCCTACATCCCCAGCCCTCGGGGACATCCCCACAGCTCCCCACTCTGTCCCCTCCTACTCACCCATCCCGCTGCGCCTCCTTCTTCTCCAGGTCCTGGATGACGTCCAGCAGCACGCGGATGGTTTGCTGGCTGGTCTCCAGCACCCCTTCCAGGGACTGCAGCTGGGAATGCAGGTCCCCCTGCTCCCCGGGCCCCCGGGGGCCCTCTCCCTGAGATGTCTGGGCATCCTCATCCCTCGCTGGTGCTCCCACCGGCCCCTTGGCCACCACCACCAGCTGCAGAAGGTCCTGGACGCGGTGCAGCTCGTCCGGCTCCTCGGCGGCTCGGCGGGGCTGTCCGTGCCGGGGGGTGTCCGCTGCCCACCCGGCCGCTCGTGTCCCCACGCCGGGGCCCTGCGGGGCTGTGGGCAGCGGCTCCTTGGGCCGCTCGGCTCCCGCCCGGCCGTGCCCGGGTCCGGCGGCGCGGAGGCGGCTGCGGGTGCCGAGGGCGGCTGGTGTTCTGTCCGGCGTGCCCGGCGCTGGTGGCACGGGGGCTGGCGAGGAGCAGCAGGGCCCCCCCCAGAACGCGGCGCAGAGCTGGTGCTGGGGTGGCGGGGGGTCCCGCGGGGGGTTGCCCTGAGGTGGCTGCCCCCTGAGGAGGCCGTGGGTGTCCGTGGCGGGGACGGGCTGCCGGCGGTGCGGCGAGGGCTGGCTCGGCGGCAGGGTCCGCTCCGAGCCGCTCCGGCCGAGCCCCCGCCGCTCGCCCGGCGACCGGGGCTGGCCGCAGGGCACGGAGGCCGGGCGGGGAGCGACCCCGTGGTTGCCCCGAGGGCTCCCGCGGAGCTGGGCACGGGCCGGGGGTGGCGGGCAGGGCTCGGGGGTGCAGCTTTGCACCGGAGGGGCGCAGCGGGCAGCGGGGCACCCGGCCGTGCCCTGGTAAGGGGGAGGGGGGTCCCTGGGTGGTGGCGGCGGTGGTGTGCGGCGCACCTTGGCGTGCTGGGCGACGACCGCGGGGCTGTCGTGGGTGGGGAGGCTGCCGGGGGTCCGCGGGGGCACGGCCGCTCCCGGGCACCGGGCGCTCGCCAGGGCGGACAGTAGCGCATCCTCCGCCACATCGCAGACGCTCTTGCTGCGGGGCTGGGGGGCCGGGAAGGGTTTCTGGAGGCTGGGCGAGGTCTGGATGGCGGTGCTCATGCACGCCTTCCTGGGCATGGGCAGCGTCAGCGAGCCCGGCTGCGCCTGGGGCCAGCTGCGCCGGGAGGCACGGAGAGCCGCCGGCTCAGGGGGGTCCCTGGGGGGCGGCGAGGCACGTGCGGTGTTGTGGCCGGGGCCGGCGGCGGGCCCGGGCGGGGGGCTGGCCGCCCGCCCCGCGCCGGCCTCCACCAGGTCCTTGAAGCGGACCTGCTGCGTGCGGTTGCGCCGGCGCTTGAGGCGGCTCTCGATGTCGGGCGAGTCGCGGTTGAGCAGCACCGAGCGCACCGTCATGGCTTTCTCCTGGCTGCCCTCGCCGGCGGGGGCCGGGCCGGGCACGGGCTCACGGCTGACCATGGCTCGGGGCCGCGGGGCCGGGGTGCTGCGGCGGGGCGCGGGGGGCCGAGCGCCGGCGGCCGGAGCCCTGGGCTGCGGCCGTCCCCGGAGCTGCTGGGGCGGCGGGCAGCCTCATCCCGCGCCGCCACGGACAGGGGATGCTGGGCGGGAGGTGGGCGAGGGGCCGCCGGGCATGCTGCCCGCCGCCCGCCCCTACAGCCCCCGGCACGCCGCCCCGCCAGCCGTGCCCGGTACGGCGGCTCCCCGCCGGCGCCCGCAGCCCATCGTCCCGCCGCGGCCGCCCGGGCTCAGGGCCGCCCGCTGCGGGCCGCCCGGTGCCGGCCGTGCCCGCCCATGGCTCCCGGACCTGCGGGGACAAAGAGAGGGTGCGTCAGAGCCGGCCACGCCAGCGCGGCCCCCGAGGACACAAGTGTCCCCGTGGAACTGCCGGCCTCTCCCAGCTCGGCTCCCTCCCAGCCCACCATCACCAAACGCGAAGAGACAGGCTTTGATCTGCGGCGCTGCCTCCTCAGCACAAAGGGAGAAGGGAAAAGAAAGCCCTTTAGCATAAACACGTTCCGAGTTCACAGCTCAAATCAAGCAGAAGCAGCTGGTAAAAATAGCTCTGCCTCGCCGGGGCTGGTGCCTCGTGTGCGGGGCGCGGGCAGGGCAGGGGCCAGGGCCGGGGGCTCCCCTGAGGGACGGACGGACGGACACGGGACACCCCCGCACGTGGGACACCCGCCGGGCACGGGCACCAGCTCTGCGGGGCATGGGCAAGGCGTGGGGCACCCACCCAGAACGGGACACGGAGGGGTGGGCATGGGATCCGTCCCGCCGAGGGCATGGCCAGAGTGACACAGGGGACATGTCACGGGTGGTTGTGGCCGGACTGGGCACCAGAGGTGCTGGTTGGGCTGTAGGCATGGGGGACCAACTCTGTGAGCAGCGGCGAGACGGTGGCTTGGGGACACGGAGTCACTTCAGACACATGGCAGCGAGCAGGAGGGAGAAGCTTCAGTAAGGCCGGGGGATGTCACTGTCACCAGCAGCACTTCACAGGGGCAGGACCCGGGCTCACAGGGGGGATTGCACCCAGCTGTATCCCCATTCCTGCCATCGTCCCGCTCCCTGCCGTTGTCCCCGTCCCTGCCATCGTTCCCGCATGGCTCTGCAGGCTCCTCCTCCCCACACCTGCAAGGCGACTCACTCCGCTGCCCTGTCCCGGACGTACCCGCAGCACCCCGTGCCCACTGTGCCGCTGGCGGCTGCCCCAGCCCATCGCACTGCCCGGCCACCAGGAGCACGGGGCACACCGGGAGCCCTGCTGGGACGTCCCGGAGTGTAGGGGAGGCCGTCGGCTCGTTTGGGACGCAGCCAAAACCAGAGATTCCAGCCGCAGCGAGCGGCGGCTCGGCTTTGTCGCACACCACACCGTGTCCCGTGTCCCACATCCCCGCGGTCCCCGCCCCAGTCCACAGCCCGGTGCTCCCGCAGCGTCCCCGCACCCTCTCCGCACGCCGAGGCGGGAGCCTCGCCGGCTCCGCAGCCCTCCTGCCCTCACTGCGGACGGACAGACGGCTCAGACACCTCCGGCCCCCCTCCCTGTCTTGCCTTGTTCCTGCTGGCACGAAGCGCTGACTCAGCCCAGCAGCACGGAGTCCCCAGTGCCGGCACAGCCAAACTTCCAGCGCTGCGTTCCGGTGCCCCGTGCCCGCCCAGGCCGGCAGCGAGCACTGAGCCAGCGGAGCCGGAGGCTCTCACTGCCCTCCCTGTGCCCACGCCGGCCCCGCACACCCCGCTCCGTGTGCTCGGGATGCTGCTCCACGCGCCGCCCAGCCGCCCGGCGCTTCCCTGCCCGAGCTTGGAGCCGTGCCCAGACACCCGGAGATGTCTGCGAGGCAGGACGAGACGAGGGATGGCATGGGGCTCCTCGTTAGTATGGACAGCAACAGGCGGAGGAGCGAGCTGGCTGGGGCTGCAGCCAGAGGCGCAGGTCCTCGCTTCCTGCATCGCCACATCCCTCCTGGCCCGGGGCACGGGCACCCACGCTGGCCTGGGCACAGCCTGCCGGGGTATCCGTGATATCCTCAGCCACCCCTACGGCCCCGTCACAGGCATGGGGTCACCTCTCTCCTCGTGCCACCAGAGCTTGGTGCCCCCGGCAGCATCCTCGGCTGCGGCCGTGCCGGGGAGGGCAACGCGCCAAGGGCAGAGGGACCTGCTGGCCACATCCCAGAGGAGCCTGCGTGTGCCAGCCTGCTCCGGAGGGATCCTTCATGGGGGTGTGGGGTGCTGGGAAGGGCTGCGAGGGCCGGGCACGGGGCAGGAGCTCCGCTGGCACGGCCTGAGAGCAGGAGCAGCCCCGTGATGCTGCAGGGGGCTCTGGCCGAGCCGTGGCTGCCGCAGCGTGGGACGAGGCCGTTCCCCTGCCCACGCCCAGCGGGGCCCCGCCGGAGCTCCCTCGGCCTTCCCCGAACCGCTGGGAGATCAGAGACGAGCCCCAAGGACAAAGGGAAGCCTATAAATGATGCATGGAGCAACTCGGCTTGGGAACGGTTCTGAGGATGTCAAACAGCCACGCCAGGACCCTCCCGCGCATCCCTGCGTTTTCTCCGCGCTGTGGTTGGGTTTAGGGCCGTGCTCGGGCGCCGTTTGCAGCACGCCGGCAGCTCCGAGCGTGGGGAATGAGTCCCGTTGTGGGGCAGGAGCAGGATGGTGCCACCTAAGGTCTGATGGACTCTCCTGGATTGTCCCTGAGCCTGAGGAACCCTCTCTGCTGGTGGCTCCAAAGGACATCTCAGATGCATCTGGCACCCAGCCACTCTTCAAGCACATTTACTGGGCAATGGTGCTCAGCACCGAAATCCTGAGGCTGCTGGAGCCCCTCCTAGTTCCTGAACCCACCACAGCCCCTTCCAGGGTCTACTCCAACAGGACCCCAAGGCTGTGGTCACTCCTCCCTCCAGGAGAGACCTCTGCAAACCCCTCGAGGCCAAAGCAGCTCCACGCTGATGTGCCCTGCTGGACATTGGGGTCATCCTTGGAGTGGTCATTGGCCAGCGACCTCAGGAGAGCCCAGTGGGTGGGACAGGAGCCACAGAGCCTTGCGTGGCAATCTGGGGGATGCAGGTGGGCTGGAACCACCCAGGGGATGCGTTTGGTGCTTGGCTGATCCCCTCTGAAGGAGGGCAGCAAGAAGCAGCCAGGCCAGTCAGCGCGGGGCCGCGGAGAACACGGCTCATCAACCCCATTTGCTGCCGGGCTTGATGAGGTTCCAAGTTTGGTCAGTGGAGGTAAAAGCCTCGGCGGAGCAGGCTCGGATCCCTGTGAGGCATTTGACATTTCAACAAAGAAAGCAGGATGATCCCAAAAGCAAAGTGGATTAAAACCAGCAAACCGGCACGTCTCTGCTCGGAACCGTCCCGCGGCCCTGACCACCGAGGGAAACTGAGGAAAGGGGAGAAAATGAAGAGCAAGGAAGGAAAAAGGCCAGTTCAGAGGAAGGCAAAGGCATGGAGCAGAGGCTGTGCAGGATGGGGCTCTGAGTGGCAGCTCCAAGCTCCATTCATGGCAGCTGGAAATGCATGTTGGCAGGTCAGAGAAACAACTTCCTTAAAAAGTGAGGCCAGCTGGCAGAGGAGCAGCTTGGAAAGGTTTTGCACAGTGGTGGACCCTCCATCCCAGCGATTTTTTAAAGTCTGAGTGTTTTTCTCCTCTGATTCCTATGGGAATTCCAGGCACATGGATAAGGTGAGACAGTAGGATCACACAGGTGATGTAGAGGTGAAAGCAGGTGACCCCAATGTGACATGCCATGAGTTCTGCAGCACTGGGTTCTGCTGGATGCTCGCACAGTTGGGAATGATCTCTCCTCCACTGAGTGACCCCAGGAGCTGAGGAAGCATCAGGAATCTCTTCTCATGGACACCCCTTAGCCAGCCCCAGTACTGGGTTTCTCTGGCCAGCGCTGATGGGTGGTGAATTTTGTGAATAATAGACACTAAACCTGCTGGGTTTGCTTCCTGGGACACATCTCTGATGGTGCAGGGCTGACCTCAGAGGTCAGAGCCCTGCTTCACACTGCCCTGTCTGGAATGTTACCTGCCAGCTTCAGCCCTTTCTCCACCTATCCTCTCCCTCACCCATGCCAGTAACACCGTGGAAAAGGGGAAAAATGGAGCAGACACATAAATCTTCTCCTCAGGACACAGGAAGCTGGGAGATGAGATTTATGAGGGAGGAAGTCAGGTTCTCCTGGAACCGCAGAGGAGAGACGTGAATGACCCGGAGTGCCTTTGTGGGGCACCATGTCTGATTTTCCTGATCTGCAGAGGGGACAGAGGTGCTGCCGGCTGTGGAGCGGGGCAGCACTGGAGGATGAGGCGCTGGAGGGGCAGGAACCAGGCTCATGGCACATCGCTCCACAGCAGAGCCGAATCCCGCCTTGGCTTTGGGAGGACTCGAGGCGTTTGTTCTCAGATCAGAGCATGTGTGGGACTTGAGGATGGAGGACTTGGAGCAGCTCCTCGGGCAGCTTGCACACCCGAAATCTGCTTCCTCGCTGAGGAAGCTCCAGCACGAAGCCAGCTCATGCCCTGCCCTCATGCTTCTCTTGGAGGCTCTTCCAGAACCCGGCTTGCTGGGAGCCTCCCAGACCTTCTCATTTCCTGCAGGCTCTTAATCACGGCCCGTTTATATCCGACTGTACTCGTGCCAATGGAACGCTCTCAGGCAGCTCTTCTCCCTCCTCGGTGCTCAGCCCTCGCAGTCCCCAGCAAGGAGAAGCTCCTTCTCCAGCCACATTCCCAGCGTTCCACAAATCCAGCTCGGCTCCTGTCCCCAAGGCCAGCTCCCCATGTCCCTGATGGACCTGGCAGTGCCTGACCCCCTCCCTCTCAGCTCCAACACCACTGCGGCTCCCCCAGGACGGCTGAGCTGGCCCGGCCGAGGACACAGGAGCTGTCCCTGCCACCAGGGCTGTGCCCGGGGTGGCCGTGCCCCTCAGTCCCCCATCGAGCATCGCCCACGGGTTCCAGGAGTGGCACCGGCGGGCGGGTCCCGGTGCGAGCGGCGGCTCCCAGAGCCGAGGGATCCACTCTCATCCCTATGTAGGTCATGGCTGAAGTGCTCTGAGGGAACATTAGTCACTCTCCCAGCCACAGGGCCCAGGAGAAGGCTCTGGCACCTCCACCCACCTCCCCACGGCACCAGCACCCACGACCACCCCCACGGGCTCCTCTCCGGGGCCGCCGAGGCTCCCGGCTGGCCGGGCCACACGTGCCCACGGAAGGGATGGGGCCGGGGAATGAGGAGCGAGATCCTCCCGGCACGCCGGGGTCACCGGCTCCGCTTCCATCGCTCCCCTCCGACTGCGGATGCGCTGCTGCTGCAGATGGAGCCGCACACGGTCAGGGAGACGGGAGTACAAAGCCTCCGCACGAGCCTTCAGAAGCTGCAGAAGCCAAATTATCCCTCTGTCTCCCGTGGATGCTAATACGGCTGTCATGGCTGTGGTGTCTCTGTTCACTGTGCTACCTGCTGGCGTTCCCACCTCTCTGCCAGGCAGAGGAGCTTTGCTATTGCTCTTTTAATGAGACGTGAAGAGTGGAGTGACCTGCCTGGGGGAGCAGGCAGCGCGTGTGGAGCGGGAGCAGCTCAGGAGGAGTTTGTTCCATGTCCTGAGGCTTCCCTGCTCTCATCCGTGCAGGAGCAGGCGAGCGTCCCTGGAGCTGCTGCTGGCACCGTGGTTCAGTGCCACCCCCGGGGCTGCAGGAGAGACCACCCCGGGAGGGAGAACATCCTGCTCGGCTGCTTCCTTCCCAGTGAATGGGGTATGGGCAACACCATCCTCCTCCTGGGGATGCCCTGTGTGGCTACACGGACCTGGGAGAATGCTTTGGATGGAGATCCAGCCCAGAGAGCTCGGCTGGTGCCCAGCACCAAACCTCAGGGCTCTGCTGGCATCTCCAGCACGGGCTGATCCTGCAGCAGTGACAGGACAAGGGAAGCGGGACACGGCCCAGAGATTTTTGGCCACAGGAGACCCAGCTCATCTGCAGACCCCCACGGCCCTGTGCTCTCTGAGGAGGATGTCTCCGCTCTGGAGAAGGGGTTGGGCACCCGTCTAGAGCCCACCTGCCCCAGTGTGCAAAGCAGCTGCCTGGGCCAGGGGACCCTGGGTGACAAAGGCTCTGTGGGCTCCCTCACAAGCCAGAAATGGCATCAGAAAGCCACCAACTGTCCCCAGAGCACACTTGAGGATAAAGCTGGAAAGGCTTCACAGCCCAGAAGCTCCTGCACTGCCCCAGCTGCCCCTGCCCACACCGATCCAGGCTCGGTGCTGGGTGCAGCAGGGACCCCCTGGGGCAGCCCCCGTCCCACCAGCACCCAGCGGCCACGGTGCCGGCAGCCAGCGGCTCAGCCTCTGCAGCTGCGGCTCCCAGCGCTGAGAACGTCCTTCCAGAATACAAATTCCTGCCTTTAAGTGCATTCTCAACGCCATCGAGCAGCCTGCCCCCACCTTTATCTCCGTGTGCTTTAGACAACGCTGGCTACCGGGGGAATTTGGGAATTAGCGAGTGTTTGCCTCCGCCTCGTGCCTCAGTTTCCCCACCACCAAACAGTCCAGACCTCGCGGAGCAACTCCGCAAACACGCGAGGCAGGCTCTGCCCGCGGCGCTGGTTAGGATTGGAGCAGCGTTGTTAGCAGGGACAGGAATAGACCCACTCATTATCTGTGGCCTCTGGATGCCACCATGCTATTAAGTAATTACGAGAATTATCATTTGTAAAGAAGACAACCTCAGTCCAAAGGAGCTTCCGCGACGAAATGCAGCCCGCTCCTCCGAGCGTGCCGGGAGGACGAACGCTCCCTGCGGAGAGGGGACACAGGGAAGGGCCGGAGGTGCCATCCTCAGCCCCGCTCCGCCCGAGGGTGCCCCGGGCTGCTCCCGGCACCGCTCCTCGGGCAGCACCGCCGGGAGGGAGCTCAGCCGGAGCTCCCCGCGTCCCCTGCCGCGGCTGTGCCGAGGGGCTCGTTCCCGTAGCCCCGGGAGGAGCAGAGCCGCGAGCCGCTGCTGGCGCTGAGCACGGCGTGCCCCTCGGAGCGAGCAGCTGACACCGATGTCCCCGTATGTCCCCGTGCTGGCACAGCCGGGCCCGCTGGTTACTCATACGTGTCCACCTCGTGCTCCCAACACGAAACCGGCTCCGCGGAGACCTCGGCCCCTCTCCCGCGCCGCTGCCGGGGTTTGCGTGCGCTCCCGCGGGGAGGATCGGGACCGGAGCACCCCGGGAGGCACCGGCGCACCCCCATTCCGCGGGACTGCGTGGGGCTCGCTCCCGCATCCCGGAGCCCCGCCGGCGGACGCAAGGCCTCGGGCGCGGAGCGCGGCGCCGGGAGCTGCCGGGAGCAACGCGGGCTGAATCCCTCCAGCCCCGGCCGGCGTCACGGTACCCAAAGTGACATCCCTGGATCTGCGTGTGCGTGTGTCACCCGGCACAGCCCCGGCTGGCGGACGCGTTCCTAACGAGGGGGAGCGGAGATGAGCCCGCCTGGCCGCTCCCCGGAGCGGCTCCGGCACGCAGCGACCCAGCGAGCGGCGGGGGCCGGGGCGGACAGGGCGAGGCTGCGGCACCGCGGCACGGCGTGGGGGTCTCCGGCCCCCCTGACACAGCAGCTCCCACCATAGATGCACCTCCACAGGCTACACACCGTGCCGCCGCTCCGGCACGGTTGTATCCCCCAGAGACCCCCGTCACGGTAGCCGGTGGCCACCTCGGTGCGGGATGCCCGGCGCAGGGGGCTCGGTGCGGGGTGCCCGGTGCACGGTGCCTGCCGTAGGATGCTCGGTGCCACCGTCCCCGTGCCTCCCGCCGTTCCCCGGGCAGCTCCTGCTGGCCAGGAGTAAAGGAGTGGAGCACAGGGAGGTGCCACGACCCCCGGGGATCCGGGGACACCGAGGATCCCCCTCGCCAGCCCAGCTCGGCTCCTCGCCCCGGTCCCGCCGGCCCCCGCGCATCCCGCGGGCCGAGGGTACCCGCACCGCTGCCGCGCCCCCGGGGCTCTCAGCACCGCCGCGCAGTCCCGGTTTCGGGGCTCCCCGCAGCGTGTCGCCGCTCCTGGCCCCGGGGTTCCCACGCCCCGGCCCCGGGGCCGCCCGGGGTCCCGGTACCGGCCGGCGCCACAGGGCCGATGCCCGCGGCACCGGTCCGGCCGCCGCCCCGCTCCCCGGCCGAGCCTGCTCCCCATCCCGCCCGGTACCTGGTGCTCGGCGGCGGCGGCGGCGGCGGCGCGGGTCCGGCAGCGGCGGGCGCGGGGCTCGGCGGGGCGGGGCGGGGCGGCGCGCGCCCGCCGGTACCGGGGCGGAGCCGGCGGGGGCGGAGCGGGGCGGGGGGCGGAGCCCCGCCATGGGCTGCGCGCCCGGGAGCCGAGCCGCGGAGCCCGGGAGGAGCCGCGGTCCCGGCACCGGGAGGGCGATGTCTGCGCGCCCCGGTGCCGCTGCTGCTGCGCGGGGCAGCGCTCGGCGGGGCGGCCGCGGGGGCCACGTGGATTCCCGAAGGAGCGGGAGCTGCTGGGGTTTGATCCGTTTGCTTTGCTCAGGAGAATTCCCTGAAATTCCCTCGCAGAGCCAGAAAACCCCTCGTAGCCAGGGCTGGCCGTGGGCGCTCGTTGCTACGCCCCATCCCGAGGAGCTCCCGGTGGTGCGAAGCTGAGCCCTCGGTCACCAGCGGCAGTCACATCCCTCCCCGGCCAGTCCGCTTTGGTCTGCGTGTGGTTGGCAGAGTTTTTCCTGAGGCTGCAGCGGGGCTCCGTCTGCGCCGGAATCCGGGAGGGAGCTCCGGCAGCGCCGGACCTGCCAGGGCTGGAAGGTGCCAGGGGCACCCGGGGTGGGCAGCGGTGCCCAGCGCCCGGTGCTGCCCTCACAGGGCTCACGGCACGGCAGTCTCTGAGGATGGGTTGGCACCTAAAGCCACCCACGAAGCTCCATCAGTGTCACCGAGCCACGGCAGGGCCGTCACTCCTCCTGAGCATGCCAGGAGATGCTCTTACCCCAGGAAGAGCTGCACTTTCCCGCAGCTCCCAGCCTCGGATGTGTCTCTGGGACAGCTTTTGGGCAGCATTCAGCCTCAGATGTGTCTCTGGGATGGCTTTTGGGCAGCGTCCTGCTTGTGCACATTCCACTTGTCTTGCTACAAAGCTTGGAGCCTCCTGGAGTGGAGCTAAGGGCTCCGTTTGGGACTCTTCACTGGAGAGACTCCAGAAGGAGCCTGCTTGCCATTTTCAAAATGTCTTTATATCCACAGTTGGCCTTAAATTGACTCAAAAATGGCAGAAATGCTTCAGTGCCCCTCTGCAATTAAACATGCATCCCCCTGGCATCCTGGTGGGTGCAGGAGCCATCCCATCCCTGGAGTGGGATACAGAGTCTGGGAGCTGCACATGAAGGGGCCAGGAGGTCTGGGGAGCTGGAGAAGAAGGGACAAGGGAGGGTGGGAGTGAACAGACCCCAAGGCAAGTTTGGGCTCTGGGTTATGAACCGAGGAACAAGGCCAGTGGCCTGTTCCATGGTGCAGCTGCAGGACCCAGCAGGGCCTGAGCAGCTCCTGTCCCCCAGAGCCACTACGTAGCCTGCATGGCCACCATCCTGAGCCAGATGGACAAGGACCACTACAGCACCTACATCCAGGCCTTCCCCTCCCGGCCTGAGCTGATGGTGAGTGCTGCCCCGCGGCAACACGGGGCACCAGCACCTCTCTCACAGCATCCCCCGGAGGGCACTGACATCTCTCCCTCCCTTGCAGGACTTCCTCATGGAGACTTTCATCCTTTTCAAGGACCTGATTGGGAAGACGGTGTATCCCGGTGACTGGGTGGTGATGAACATGGTGCAGAACCGGTGAGGGACCACGGGGGGAGGCTGGGGTGGGTGTGACATGCAGGAGTGATGTGCTGGACAGTGTCTGGCTGCACTGAGGTGGGCAGCAAGGTGGGCACAACAGGCTGGGCAGTGCCGCCCTCGCTCAGTGGCCGTGCTCACTCGCCCCAGGGAGTTCCTGCGTGCCATCAACCAGTTCGCCACGACCTTAACCGAGATGTTCCTGAGCGACAGCGACTTCGAGCTGCAGGTGGGTGGGCACTGCCTCAGTCCTGCTTCAGGCCAGGTGGGTCCCCAGCCTGGCACTCATCCCTGTGCTTCCGCTGCAGCTTTGGAACAACTATTTCCACCTGGCCGTGGCTTTCCTCACCCAGGACTCCCTGCAGCTGGAGAATTTCTCCCCGGCCAAACGCAACGCTATCCTGGCCAAGTGAGTCCCCAGCCCGCCCGGGCAGCCACGCCTCATTTCCGTGCCCCGAGGTCAGGGATTTTGGGATGAGCCAGCTGGGCTGTGCACACCCGGGGCTGCAGAGCGCTGCTGACTGCCCTGTGTCCCGGCAGGTATGGGGACATGAGAGCCACGATCGGAGCGTCCATCCGGGATATGTGGTACAGCCTCGGTGAGCCACGGTGTGCCGAGATTTTTGGGTCTCTGTGGGCTCATGTCCATCAGCACCATCCCCAGAGTGGGTGTGGGGAGCAGGGTTTTGCTGGTTTGGGCATGGGAACCTGCATGGGTGTGGATCTGCCCCCCAGCCCTCCCTGTCCTCCCAGGCCAGCGCAAGATCGAGTTTATCCCGGGGATGGTGGGTCCCATCCTGGAGATGACGCTGGTGCCGGAGCTGGAGCTGCGCAAGTCCACCATCCCCATCTTCTTCGACATGATGCTCTGCGAGCACCGGCTCACCGGGAGCTTCAGCCGGGTGAGGGCCGAGGCTGCTCCTGGGGGTGTGGGGGATGTTGTGGGATGTTGTGGGAACCACCCACAGCAGGGGAGTGGCGTGTCCTGGGAGCGGGGACGGGAACCGTCTCTTTAGGATGGTCTCTGGGGAGGGGCTGCTCCAAGCTCAGCCCACCTTCATCCCCTCTGCAGTTTGAGGATGAGATCCTGCGCAGGCTGGACAGCGAGGTGGAGGGCGGCCGGGGGGACGAGCAGTACATGCAGCTTTTCAAGAGCATGTGAGTGTGCAGAGTGTGCCCCTGCCACCTTTCCGCCGGGGACACGACCCTTTGCTGTCACCATTCCCTTGCCATCCCACTCCTCCTCACGCTCGGCCAGAGTGTGCCACGGGGGAAAGGGAGCAGCGAGGAGGAAGGCTGGTGCCTGAGCACCATCGTGTGCCCCTGCGCATCTCTGCTGCCCCAGCCTACCCCAGGTGTTACCTCTGCTGCAGGTGATGCTCCTGCCCCTGGTGACACCCCTGTCCCCGGAACTATTCTATGCCTCAGGTGATGCCCCTGCCCTAGGAATTACCCCAGTCCTAGGAATTGCCAGTGCCTTAGGTGTTATCTCTGCCCCAGGTGTTATCCCTGCCCCAGGAATTGCCCCTGCCTCAGGTGATGCCCCTGCCCCAGGTGTTATCTCTGCCCCAAGTGTTATCCTTGCCCCAGGAATTGCCCCTGCCTCAGGTGATGCCCCTGCCCCAGGAATTGCCCCTGTCTCAGGGGATGCCCCGGCCTCAGGTGATGCCCCTGCCCCAGGGATTGCCCCTGCCCCAGGTGATGCCCCTGCCTCAGGGGTTTTCTCTGCCCCAGGAATTGCCCCTGTCTCAGGGGATGCCCCGGCCTCAGGTGATGCCCCTGCCCCAGGAATTGCCCCTGTCTCAGGTGATGCCCCTGCCCCAGGAATTGCCCCTGTCCCAGGTGATGCCCCTGCTCCTCCCAGGCTTTGTCGCTGCCCTTTGGTGCTGAGCAGGGCAGTGGTGGGAGCACTGCAGAGCTGGCTGTGCAGTGGGACCTGTGGTCTCCCCTCTCTTCCCCAGCCTGCTGAGCTGCTGCCAGAGCCACCCCGAGCTGGCCAAGCCTGGAGAGGACTTTGTGAGGCTGGTGAGCGAGCTCCTGGAGAGGCTCCTGGACTACCGGGCTGTCATGAATGACGAGAACAAGACTTACAGCATGAGCTGCACCGTCAACCTCCTGGTGAGCCCTTGAGCTTTGTCCACCTCCCTGAGGCTGGCAGGGCTCATCCCCGTGTCCCCATCTCCCTGGGACAACCAGGGCTTGTTCCCATGCTTCCCCAGGTCCCCAGGGCTGGCAGGGCTTGGCCCTGCATCTCCCCCTGGCACAGCAGAGCCACATGGTGCCAGAGCTGGCATCTCTCGGGAGACACCGTGCAGCTCTGCAGGGCCAACCCCAGCCCCGTGTGGGGACAGTCCTGGCAGCACCACGACCCGGAGGGTGGCAGCGTGGGGGGCTGTGCCATGTGCCACTCCTGGGGCCACTCCAACAGCCTGGTCTGCCTTTCCACAGAACTTCTACAAGGAGATTGACCGCCAGGCCATGTACATCAGGTGAGCACAGCCCTGGGAACGCTGGCAGCACCTGGGGCGGGGGGTCCTGAGCACCCCCAGCAGGATGGGCTTGGCAGAGTGGCCTGAGGGGCAGGGTGATGGTGCTCTGTGGCCAAGCTCTGCTAAGTGTCGTGCCCCACATGTGAGATTGTCACTCCCCACCCACGGCTCTGTCACTCCCAGGTACCTGTACAAGCTGAAGGACCTGCACATCAGCTACGAGAACTACACGGAGGGAGCCTACACGCTGCTGCTGCACGCCCGGCTGCTCACGGTGGGCACGGGGGGCTCGAGGGGGCTGGCAGGAGCGGGCAGCCCTGTGGGCTGGGTGTGACAGGTCCCTGCTCCCTTCTGCAGTGGTCAGAGGAGTCGAATGCAGCCCCCGTGCCAGGCCCCCACGGCCTCCACCTGCACACCCAACGCCAGCTGAAGGAGGCTCTGTACAACCAGATCATCGAATACTTCGACCAGGGCAAGGTGAGTGTGGCCACCTGTCCTTGCAGACCCTGCAGCCTCTGGAGGCTACTGGAGGGAGCTGGGCTGGCTTAGGGCAAGCCTGGCCCCCTTGCCATCGCTGTCCCCTATTTCAAGCTCCCAGATCCCATTCTTAGCACAGCCCCTGATTCCCCACTGCTGCAGAAGGGTTGGAGCTGCCCTGCAGTGAGCCTGGGTTGGATGGTTCATCCCACAGCCACTGTCCCTCACCCCATTCCTATCCAATTCCTGTCCCATCACATCCCAGCCCAGTCCTTGTACTGCCAGGGGCTGACAGCTTGGACATCTCTGGACAAAGGCTTGGTGGGGTCACCTGGGGGGCTCCAGGGCTGGAGATGGGGGGGAAGCCAAGTTCTTCTGCTGCCCGCTGGACCACCAGTCCCCACGGGAGAGCCCTCTCCCCCTCCTACAGGGGGAAGGGATGCAGGTGCCCCCACAAAGTCCCTGGTGCCCCCTTCCCCAGTTCACCCTGTACTGCGGGGGGTCTGTCCTGGCCCTTCTCTCCTCCAGATGTGGGAGGAAGCCATCCACATCTGCAAGGAGCTGGCGGAGCAGTACGAGAACCACGTGTTCGACTATGAGATGCTGAGCGACATCCTGGTGGGTGCCCGGCTGGGCTGGGGGTGCTGCTGGCAGGGCAGGATGAGTTGGGGGGGATAGGGGGGTCTGCAAGGCTCCATCATGTCCTCATCCTGCCCCTCTCCTCTGCAGCAACGAGAAGCCAAGTTCTATGAGAAGATCCTGAAGGTGCTGCGGCCCAGCCCGGACTACTTTGCCGTGGGATATTACGGGCAGGGCTTCCCCACCTTCCTCCGGGTAAGCAGGACCAGGAGCAGCCCCACAGCTGCCACCTCGATTCCCAAGGAGCCCCACCCCTCACCGGTCTCCACCTGGATGTGGAGGTGTGGATCACAGCTCTCTCTGAGTGTCATCATCCAGCCTGTTCCTTACCCAGCATCTGTCCCAGCCAGGGGACATCCCAAGGTCAGATGGTTTGCACAAATCCAGTCACTCTCCCCCCATCCACCCACGCTGCCACACCCTTGTAGAAGCCACCAAATTTGTCACACAGGAGTTGTCCTCAGTGATGTTGCTTCGCTGGCACCAGTCCTGATTCTCCATGTGCCACCTTCTTTTTTCCTCTAGTTGCTGGATTTAAGGAGAAATTTTTTTCTGGACGGAGGTGTATTTTTCTGGAGATGGAGGTGTATTTTTCTGGATGGAGGTGTATTTTTCTGGATGCAGGTGTACTTTTCTGGATGGAGGTGTATTTTTCTGGATGGAGATGTACCTTTCTGGACAAAGGTGTATTTTTCTGGATGGAGGCACATCTTTTCTGGATGGAGGTGTACTTTTCTGGACGGAGGTGTACTTTTCTGGACGCAGGTGTATTCTTTCTGGATGCAGGTGTATTCTTTCTGGATGCAGGTGTATTTTTTCTGGATGCAGGTGTATTTTTATGGATGCAGGTGTCTCCTCCTTGGCAGGGGGCTCAGCCTTATCAGCACCAGCACCCCAGTGCTCTGGGACACGCTGGCCCTGCTCTGTGGCACAGGGATGAGCTGTCACCTTCCTACCCTGCAGAACAAGGTCTTCATCTACCGGGGCAAGGAGTACGAGCGGCGTGAGGACTTCGAGATGCAGCTGCTGAGCCCCTTCCCCAATGCTGAGAAGCTGAAGAGCACATCTCCCCCTGGCCAGGACATCACCCACTCCCCAGGGCAGTGTATCCTCCGTGTGCACAGGGACAGGGCTGGGAGCGTGGCTTGGCCTCTGTCTATCACTCTCCATGTGGGAATTCCTTAAATGCCTCTCTGTACCCCTGGGGTTCACCTTTCAGGGCTCTGGAGCCCCTTTCCCAGTGTGTGCCCGTGGCTCCTTCACTCCCACAGACATCCAGTGCTTCACTGTGCAGCCGGCAGAGGAAGCCAAGGTGCGGCTCAAGGGCCGGAGCATCCCGGAGCAGATCACCAAGTGAGTGTCCAGCACAGGGAGGCCCTGCTCTGCTCCCTGTGGGTGTGGGTGGCTGGGACACAGTGGGGATCCTCTCCCATTTCTGCCCTTTCCCTCCCCACAGCTTCTACAAAGCCAACCACGTCCAGAGGTTCAGCTACTCACGGCCTTTCAAGAGGGGCCCGAACGACCCCGACAATGAATTTGCAGTGAGTGCTGGGAGGAGCTGCCAGGACCCTCAGCTTGGGGGGTCCTGCAAGGAGAGATGGGGGAATCCCTGCTCCTGGGATGGGGAAGGTGGTGGTCCTGTGCCCATGGAGGTGGGAGCCCCCCATGCCATGGGGCAGCCAGGGGTGACGCAGGGCGATGGGAGAAGGGCAGGGAGTGACTGCTGCTCTTCCCCCAGAACATGTGGATTGAGCGGACAACCTTCAGGACAGCCTATCCCCTGCCTGGCATCCTGCGCTGGTTCGTTGTCACCTCCACTGAAACGGTGAGGAGGGGGCTGGGGGACAGCAGGGCCCTCTCAGGATCCTGGTGGATGCTCCAGCCCTGCCAGGAGCTCGAGCTGAGGATGGGGAAACGTGTCCTGTCTGTGCCATGCTCCGTGGGCAGCAGGGACAGCGTGTGAGGAGCAGCAGAGGCACTGGAGGGGTGTCAGCAACTTCTGCCACTGCTCTGTGCACGGGCTTTGCTCCTCTGTCAGAGGTGGGTGCTTGGCCAGCACGCAGGGAGTCTCAGGAGCTACCGCAGTGGAGATGTGATGTGCCCTGGTGGGTTGTCACAGGATGCTGCAGGCACAAGGACGTACAGCTGCATGAGTGCTGCACGTGTGTCTGCCATGGTGTTCAGGCTGTGCACCCCGCTGCGGCACAGCTGCACCCCCAAAGCGACACCAGTGGTTACCCAGGTCTCCTGTGCCCATGGGGTTGACTCTGTGCTGGGAGCAGGGACCAGCATGGCCAGAACATCCCCAGGAGCTCTCGCTCAGCCCCAGGCACATTGTGCCAGGGGTCTGAGGGGCTTCATGGGGTGAGATGTGCAGCCCGCAGGGGTCCCTCCTGCCAGGCTGGGGAGAGCCCACCCTGCCAGCCTTAACGAGGAAGGGCAGCACTGACCCCTCCCTGCACACACAGATCATCATCTCCCCGCTGGAAAACGCCATTGAGACCATGATGAAAACCAACGAGAAAATCATGAGTGAGATCAACCGGCACCAGAACGACTCCAGCCTGCCCATCAACCCTCTCTCCATGCTGCTCAACGGCATCGTGGACCCCGCAGTCATGGGTGGCTTCACCAAGTATGAGAAGGTGAGGATGCACAGAGGTTGTGGTGGGCACAGCTGGGCACACCCAGCACTAGGGCTGGCACTGCTCTGCCATCCCCAGCCTGTGTGGGGCTGGGCCAGCCGGGCAGTGGGACTGAGGAGGGTTGTTGCAGGCTTTTTTCCAGGAGCTCTACATGCAGGAGCACCCTGAGGACGCGGGGAAGATTGAGAAGCTGAAGGACCTGATCGCCTGGCAGGTACCAAATGCAGCATCCCTCGGGCAGGGACAGCTGCCCCCTTTGTCCGCCGTCCCTCCCCGTGCCAGGGAGCCCCACGAGTCCCCGTTGTCCCCCAGATCCCGCTGCTGGCAGAGGGCATCCGGATCCATGGGCAGAAGGTGACAGAGGACCTGCGGCCCTTCCACGAGCGCATGGAGCAGTGCTTCGAGCAGCTGCGGGCCAAAGTGGAGAGTCAGTACGGGGTGCGAGAGATGGTGAGTGCCACGGCGGTGGGCATGGGGTGGGCACGGCTGGGGGGGTCACAGGCACTGCCTGGCACCGTGGCGGTGACACTGGACAAGCCAATGTAGATGTGGGGCAGCAGGGAGAGGGAAGAGGGTGAGGAGATTGCCATGGGGGACCTCAGGGTCCCTGCCTGCCTCAGGAGGAGGCACAGCACTGCTGGGGGGTGGCTGGCACTGGCGCAGAAGCAGGAGTGGTCAGAGAGGGCACTGATGGCCCTGGCTGAGTCCAGGGAAGGACTGGGGAGGGTCTCCCCTCTCATCCCTCCTGGCTGTCTCTCAGATGTTCTTTGAGGACCGGCGGAGCGGCCGACCCCGGTCCATAGCCTGGGTACCCGACTGGGACCAGCCAAGCCACGCTGGAGCCAGGCAAGTGGGGAGTGGTGGTTGTCCCCTTTCATCCCCCTCAGCTGAGCCTTCCTCACTCTGGCCCAGGTGCTTTTCTTCCACCTCCCCAGTCCTCTGCCCTTCCACTTTCCCTTTAAGCCAAGTGCATCTCAGCCCTGTCCCTGTGGGGGTCAAGGAGGAGACACCCCATGTGCAGCCCTGAGGCTCCCCTGGACACTGCTGTCACCTGAGCCAACCATTCTTGTTCCCCAAACCTCCCCTGCTGAGCTCTGCTGTGGCTGGTGCTGATGCCTGAGCGAGTGCAGCCGCTCCCAGTGATGCTCCAGCTGGTCCATGGCCTAGCCCTGCCCCTCTTCCCCCTGCTGCCCCTCACCTGTCCCAGTCACCCCACAGCACGGAGGCACCCCCGACCCCAAAGGCTGCCCATCGCCCCTCTGAGAGCGAGGACCACAGGAACGAGCGCAGGGAGAACCGTGCCAGCTCCATCTTCAGCTCCCGGCGGCAGGACTCCCGCCAGTCCATCTCGGAGCTGCCAGAGCCTAAGGTGATGCTCAGCACAGCCCTGGGGCCCTGCTCACATTCCCTGGGTATCCTGCTGCACCCAGAGCCCCTGGCCCTGCCTGCAGCACCAGCCCTGGGGCCCTGCTCACACTCCCCTGGGTGCCCTGCTGCACCCAGAGCCCCTGGCCCTGCCTGCAGCACCAGCCCTGGGGCCCTGCTCACATTCCCTGGGTATCCTGCTGCACCCAGAGCCCCTGGCCCTGCCTGCAGCACCAGCCCCAGTCTGGATGGGACCCCTCGAGAGGCTGGTGGCAGCCCCTGCTGCAGGGAGGGCAGAGGGCTGGAGGGGCAGGGTTTGCCATCCAGCCTGGCCCCTCTGAGGTGCTGAACCTTGCTTTTGTGCCCCAGGATGAGAAGTGGAGACTCTCCTGCAACGTGAGCGAGAGCACCCTGAGTGCCGAGAGGAAACAGCCCCCGCCAAGCCAATCTGCTGCTGGTGCTCAGCCCAGTGCTGCAGGTACAACCTGCCAGGCCACCTTGCTGAGAGTCCCTACAGCCCCACGAGCAGGGCTGTGCCCTCCCACACCGCCCCCAGGGCAGGTCCCTTCACCCCCTCGTGGTGGCACAGAGTGGGAGCACAGGCACGTTCCCTGCTGAACACTCCCTGTGGGGCTGCAGCCATTGATCCTGGACTTGGTGCCAGGAGTTGTTCCTGGTGGGAGCCAGCTCGTTGCTGGGTTCACATACCCTGGCACCTCTGCCCAGCACTGCCACACTCCCCTAGGCAGAATCGCTGGCCCCGACAGCCCTGGGGACGCTGATGGGCCCTATGCACCCTCAGGCTGGCTGAGCCTCCATCTCTCCTCTCCTGCCTGCACAGGCTCGTCCCCGTCTCCCACCGGCTTTGGTGGCCGCGTGAAAAGCGCCAGCAAGCTCTCACCCCTGCCCCGCAAGTTCAGCCCCGCGGTGTACGAGACGTTCCTGGAGCAGAGCGACGCTGCAGCCCCAGGGAAGGTACTGGAGAAGGGGAATTGGAGGGGAGGCACTGGCTGGTCCCCAGTCCCACCACCCCTCACGTCCCTCTCGGCTCACAGGCGTCCCCGTCCCCAGATGGGAACAGAAGCCTCAAGTCGCCGCCACTGCCGCCACCCAAGTCCAAGCGACTGTCACAGCTCTGACCCGCTGCCACATGCAGCTGCACTGTCTGCACCCTGCCCAGAGTGCCCCTGTGCCCAGCCCGCTGCTGGACTCACAGCCCTGCTTGATTCTCACCTGCTGGAGCACCTCTTGCAGCACTGCCACCCAGAGCAGGCTCCCTGTGTGCACCAGGCACTGCCACCCTGTGTCCCACCAGCTCTGGCTATTGCCACCCTCCTGGTGTCCCCTCCTGGGCTGGGAACCACCTGGCCCTGGATGTTTCCTATGCCTCTGGAGCTACGCTGAGCTCCCCAGACATGCAGCACCTCCCAGCCATGAGGACATCCCTCCCTCCACCTGAGCTGCCCATGGTCTGTGCCAATGCCAGGGAGCCAGTGACTTCCCCAGTGGCATTCCTGCGTGATTCCTGTTCCCATCCCTTGGCTGCCCACCCCATCCTGCAGCACTAGGACCCATTCCTGAGCTGAACTGCACAGGAGCCAGCCAGGTGTGTACAAGGGCCCTGGCAGCCTCATGCTCTGCAGTGCCACCTCTCCTGCCCACACCTGCCACCTGCACCAGGCGGGTGTCACTGCCCTGACTGGCCATGCCACGCTCAGCTCCCACCTCTGCACTGCAGCCATGGCTAATAAAGGGCAAACACAACAAATGAGCACCTGCGTGGGGCTGAGTGTTGGGAAGGATGGATAAATATAATTATTCATAATAATACAGCCAGGATGAAAACAATCCTCCCTACTGACTGGACAATACCCTTACCTACAGATAAGTCCAAAAGTCAAATGGACTGTTCCATCTCACCCCCCAAAATGTATAGTTCACCACACACCTGTAACCCTCCCCTGAAACATCAGGTGTCTGTGACCCCATTGGCCCAAGTCTTGTTCCAGCCCACCTTGAAGCCCCCTGATAAGGGGTCTCCGAGGGGCCAAACGCCCTCTTGGAACTTCCACTCCCCTTTGAACTTCCCCTCTCTTGGAACTTCCCCCTCATAGGACCTCCACCCTCTCCTAGAGCATCCTCTTATCTCTCCCCTCCCCCTGCTGCATCTGGCAGCTCCAAGCAGGACTTTTCTCCATCCCTAATAAACCTGATATTCTAACAGCAGCTTTCAGAGATCTCTCATCTCCATTCACCTAAACCATCCTGGAGCCCAGCGCTCCCTACAGCTAAGCACCCATGTAAGCCCCAGCACCCAGCCCTGCTTGCCCACAGCACAGCCAGGGCTGGCACCACCCCAAAGCACAGGAACTCACCCTCCCGCAGCAGGGAAGCCCAATGGTCACTTCCCAAGCCAGGCTGTGCTCCCGGACACAGGGAGGGGACTCGCTGCTCAACCCCTGAGCTGGCACAGGGCTCTTTATTCAGGTGGGCTCGGTTGTATTTACAGTCTGTTACAGGGGGACCTGGACCCGTAACCGGGGGCTGGGGAGGGCAGGGGCTGCCTGCAGCTGGGAGCTGCCATCAGCAGGTTCCGTTCTACAGGGAGAGCGGGATCAGCCCCCGAGGCAGGGCTGAGGGACAGACACGGGGAGGAGGCGCCTCATGAGCACGGGGCGCCGGGGCTGGGCTCTCCCCGCATTCCCAGCGGAGCAGCGGGTGCTGCCTGCCCAGCTCCTCACAGAGGGCTGGCCGAGGAGGCTGCCAGGCGCTTCCCAATGTAGATCCTGCATTGGAGAGAGGGACTGTGAGGCACTGGTACAGGGTGCTGGGCTCCAGCAAGCCAGGAGCAAGGGGAGATGGCAGCAAGACCACTGCAGCTGCTGGGAGCTGTGGTGCACCCAAGGATGAGCAGCACAAATTCAGGGGTGTTCCCTCCTCCCCCAGCCCCATGGTGAGACCCACAGACACTCACCCCAGCCCCAAGGTCAGCAGGTGGCTGAGCAGGAGTGAGGGGATGAAGAGCAGCAGCAGCTCTGAACTGAAAAGTCTCTTCTTCCTCCCCACTGCACCTCCCTGCAGGCTCCACAGCACTGGCTGGGGGGAGCACACAAAGGCAAATTCCCTGGGAAAAGTTCATGGTTAACAGGGACACGGGGACAGCAGGATGGGGATCAGCAGGATGTGCTGGTGGGACACAGGACTTACTCTGGGGACAGGTACCGAGGGCAGCGGGTACAGGCCCAGCCCAGGGACGCTGTCAGGCGTCGCTGCCTCCACTTGGCTTCCTCTGGCACATCCCGCTGGAAAGAGACACAGGGCAGGTCAGAGCAGGGCCTGGGGGCACAGCAGGGAGTGGCAGGGGCAGCTCCCTCACCTGCCGGGGGTAAGGACAGCCTAGCTGGGGCTGGCTGTGTGCAGGCAGCACCTCACTCTCCCCTGGCTGATCACTCCCATGGCTGGCTCTGTCATCATCCCAGGCTGGGGAGCCCAGCACGAGCAGGGCCCTGAAAAGAGAAACCTTCAGTCACTGAGCCCAGCCTGTGGCCCCCAGCACCAGCCACAGCTCAGCAGGGCTCTGGAGCCTGGCTCCCTCTCAGGACTCACCCGTCACTGCTCTCTGTCTCCAGCTGGGCCTCCAGCAGCATCCGCTCCACGTCGGCGTGGCAGGAGAACGGCGAAGGCGCCGGCTCGGGCTCTGGGCAGCCTGGGCCACACCGCAGCTCCACCCAGGAGCCTGGGGGGGCTGTCAGCCCCTGCGCTGCCCCCAGCCCACCCCTGCACTTCATCCCATCCCAGCCGGGAGCCCTCCCCGGTACAGCCCACACCCCTGCCTGCAGTCCCTGACCCGGGACGCCCTGTGCACCCCCGGGACCCGCATCCGCCTCTGCCCCCGCGGTGCTCATCAGCCCCCGGTGCCCCCACTGACCCAACCCCCGGTGCACGTCAGCCTGCCCAGGATCCCCGCGCTCCCACGTCAGCCCACCCCTGCACTCCATCCCATCCCAGCTGGGAGCCCTCCCCAGCACACTCCGCACTCCTGCCTGCAGTCCCTGACTCAGGACGCCCTGTGCACCCCCGGGACCCGCATCTGCCTCTGTCCCCCCGGTGCTCATCAGCCCCCGGTGCCCCCACTGACCCAACCCCCGGTGCACGTCAGCCTGCCCAGGATCCCCGCGCTCCTGCGTCAGCCCACCAGAAACCCCGCCTGGGCTCCCCACCGACCCGCTCCCCACCAACCACCGGGGGCTCCCGGTGACCCAGACCCCCACGTGTGCACGTCAACCCCTCCACCCCCGGGCTCCCCACTGTCCCGAACCTCGCGGTGCCCCGACCCGCCCGGGCTTCCCATTGTCCCAACCCCCTGGGTGCCCCGAAACCCCCGGTTCCCCGCTGTCCCGGGTCCCCCCGCACCGTCGTCGCCGGTTCCCGCCATGGCCCCGCGGGTGCTCCGCGCGCAGCCCCCGCCGCCGGCGGTCACGTGACGCCCGCGAGCCCCCATGTAAATAAAACCACCGGGCGCCGGTCTCTTCTTAAAGCGGCGCCGGCTCCGCCCGCTGGGGCCCGCGAGCCGCAGCTCGCCCGGCCGCGCCGGCCCCGCCGCGTTGCCCCTTTAAGCGGCGCCTACGTGCGGCGCGCCAGCAAGCGTCGGCTGCGGCGCGTGCAGACCCGCACGGAGCCGGCCCGGCCCCGCCCCCCCGTCCCGCTGGCCCCGCCCCCCCGTCCCGGTGCCCGCACAGCCCGAGCCGCGCCGGACGCTGCCGCCGTTTATTTCCGCCGCTAGGGGGCGCCTCCGCCCCGCCCGTCCCGCCCGCGCGCTCCCGGTGACACCGGACCGGACCGGAGATCCGGTCAGGGGCTGCCACCGGCCCGGAGATCCGGTCAGGGGTTGCCACCGGCCCGGAGATCCGGTCAGGGGTTGCCACCGGCCCGGAGCTCCGGTCAGGGGCTGCCACCGGCCCGGTCAGGGGTTGCCACCGGCCCGGTCAGGGGCTGCCGCCGGCCCTTGCCGCTCCGTGCTTCTCAGCGAAGCGCCTGCGGGAGAGAGCGGCCTCAGACACGGCGGGGCTGGGACCAGCCGAGGAGCCTCCCGTGAACCCACCCGGGGATCGCCCGTCTGGCCAGGACACAGCTCCGAGGGACCGGGACAAGGGACCGGGACACGGGGACACTGCAGCACCCCCGGGCCAGGTGCTCCCTGCAGCACCCCCGGGCCAGGTGCTCCCTCGGATCCGTTTCGTTCCAGGCTCACCTGGAGCCCAGGGGAACGGGTGAAGGCAGTAGGAGCTGCTCTGGGAGGGGCACGGGGACAAGTCCCTGCTGGGGACAATCCTGCTGGACCAAGCGAGGGCAGCGAGGGGCTGCCAGGCTGCCCATAGCAGCTCATGGTCCCCAAGAAAACACACAGGATCTCTGTGTCCCTGCCAGGTGTCCCAGTCAGGGTTTCCTAACAGGATGGTTCCCTCAGCACCACCTCAGCCATCCATAGCCCAACAAGCCCAGCCACACTCAACTTCCCCTCAAACACATCCTCAATTTTCTGTATCTTTCTAAACCAAGACCCACACACCACAACCGGCCTCTTGTGCCAGGATTTGCCTCATGAAAACCCTGCACAGAGTTCAAACTCACTCCCTGTGCCCTCACACCAAGAAGGATTAATGGAGCTGTCCCTGGTGCCAAACAGGAATGTCCTGCTCACACCAGTGGCACCCCAGAGAAACCCAGTCCCACGGGGGCTCCCATCAGCCAGACATGGAAAGCCCAGTGCCTGGGGCACCTCGGGTGCTGCTGGGGCCAGGATCTGGGGGCTTGGGCAGGGGGAAATTTTGTGTGGCCCTGGCACGGGGAGGCGTGGGGGGCTCTCACCTCCTGGCATAGTCGTACAAGGCTCGTTTCCTCTCCTGCAAGGACAGGTGACGCTCCACGGGGGACTTTGCAAACTGCTTTGTAGCCGGCTAGAAGAGAAAGCACAGGAGCCATCAGGAGACAGATGAAGCAGGGGCCTCCTTGGTGGCCCTGCAAGGACCTGGCATGCCAGGCTCCATGCCCTTGGCTAGTCCTGAACATGAGCCACCAGAGCAGGGAGACACAACCCCAAAATACCTTGGAAGAAGGCGCAGCCACAGAGCCCTGGATGCCAGAAGCAGCTGCAGCCTGGGAGGTAGATGGGGCAGGCAGGTCTCCAGCCTCTTTGCTCTCAGGGAAGAAGGGAACTCTCCCCTCCAGCAAGTTGGCAATGGTGGTGTCCACACAGTTGGTTTGGACTGTGGGGACAAAGGGAGATCAGGACGCTCCATCCTGGCTGCCAGCGTGTGCCAGTGCAGCGGGGACAAGGTTTCCTCTTTCAGACCACAGAAGGTGCTCCCACGTCCCTGCTGCCACCCCAAGTCCCTGCTCACCCAGGTCTGTCTTGATGACCTCCAAGGGCACGTGAGGCAGCACCTCCTTGACCTGCTGTGCCATGGCCACGACCCGCACGTCCTCGGGAGCACCCACGGGCAGGCTGGGGGGCACCCTGGGCCGGGCTGCCGGGTGCTGGCTCAAGGCTGCAGAGAAAGGACAGCGGGCACAGGGTGAGGGATTGAAAGTGGGCAGTCTGTCACTGAGAGCAGACAGAGTCCCCCCAGAAAGCAGAGGCTCCATAGGCAGGATCCCCACCTGGGGCAAAGGGCAGCCGTGCCGTGTGCCTCAGCCTCTTCATGTGCTCGGTCCTGTCGGCAGCGGTGATCCGTGTGGATACCACACCCAGCTCCATGGCCAAGAGCTGG